AAAGAAAACCAGGAAAGGAAAAGATGCTACTGATCGAAAGGACAAGAAAGCTGTTGATATGAATAAATTAAAGAAAGATTCTGACAAGGCTAAAAGAGACAGAGGAAAGGAAAAAGGCCTAGAAAAAACTATGAAATCCAAGGAGACTACAAAAAGATCAGCCAGTGAAAAGGATGGCACTGTTCAGGTGGGAAAAGACAAAGAAACAAAAAAGATAGTTAAAAGCCAATCCAAGGAAGACAAGAAAGAAAAGAAATAAACAAGACTTCCTGTTCTGCTAATGAAGAACAGACTTCAAGAATGTAAAATTCAACATATTTATATGAATGTGGTAAATATAGCAATAAGAAAATAATGTTTTCTGGAAATAAGTGTGAACAAAGGCTATATATAATATTTTTTTAAACTGTTCAGTGTGTACTGGTATTATAAACACAAAGCAGAAATGTCTGCTTTGAAACTCAAATATGTACATATGTTAATGTGCCTGGCTACCAATGTGTATTGAAAACATTCAAATGCCAAATGGATGCCAATTACTTCAAGTCTACTCTAAATATGGGTTTGGGGTTTTGTGATTTTTTTTTCTTTCCTTGTTTACTTGTCTGCTTTGAAACTCAAATATGTACATATGTTAATGTGCCTGGCTACCAATGTGTATTGAAAACATTCAAATGCCAAATGGATGCCAATTACTTCAAGTCTACTCTAAATGGTTTGGGGTTTTGTGTTTTTTTTTTTTTCTTTCCTTGTTTACTTTATTTGCTTGATGTGGAGATGAAAGTCTAATGTTCTATATCAAATGCAAGTTTAAAAGCAATATTAACAGGCTTACCTGGACACATATAGTGAAAACTCATAAAATATTTCTATTTCACAGAAACAACCAAGAGGAGCATTAATGGACTGTAGTGTCCATTATTAACCTAATAAATGTAACTTATTCTCTGCCAAATTCTTTCCCTAAGGAAACTGGGGATTTTTTTTTGCTTTGGGTTTGTGGTTTTTTTTTGCAGCCTAAGGAAACTGGGGATTTTTTTTTTGCTTTGGGTTTGTGGTTTTTTTTTGCGGGGGGGAGGTTTTGGGGTTTTTTGGTTTGGTTTTTTTTTTGGTTTTTTGTTTTGTTTTGGTTTGGTTTGGTTTGGTTTGTTTTTTTTTTTTCCCTGAGAAAACTATTTTGTACACAAATAGTCAAACCAACCTGAGAGTTGCACTTTTTCGTGAGACCTCAGGGTATATTCAATCAAAATGTTCCTGCTACTATTTTTGTCTTTTGATCCCATGACAATATGTTTCTGCTTTTCTTCCATTCCCTATTTACTTAATTCTTTTATTTCTTTATATTTGTGTTGGAAATCTTGATTCATTATCACTTTTTATTTAACTGTGTCTTGATTTTTTTTCCAAGTTTGCAAACCTTTTGACAATGAATACTGATGAAAATTAGGCCATCTATTTCATCATTGATAAGTATTGTTCTATTCCAGTTGCATTTAAGATGTGATATGATAGTACTCCTCTATTCTGGTTAAACTTGTTTAGATAACAGCTTAGATATTTTGCTATTATCTTCTTCAACACTTTAATGTGCATGATGCTTCTATAAGCAGAATCTTGTGTTAGTTTGTTCTTACAGCTTCTGTATTTTCAGCATCAAGGAAGGATTTATCCAACAGTCTCATTAGAATAAATGAAGTTGCAAAAACATTTCTGCAGAGATAATAGAGAGATTTCAGAATATTATTGACTCTATGGTTGCTGTCAAGATTATCTAGAGATGAATATTTTCCAAATAAATTTGAAAGCAAATATATTTTATGGAATTGCACAATACAATTGCACAGGATTCAGAGCAAAACTTATAATGGAAGTTTAAGATTGATTCTTGATGTACCTCAGCATTGGTTTCAAGAAAACAAAACTAAGGAATGAAATTGAGAATGAGTATATCTGTGCATGTGGATGGTATTTTAAGATTGAAGTCTTGAAGGTTAATTCTGTTTGTGGTTTTGCTAAAATTTTGTGTATAACAGTTGTTATACACTCAGCCGTTCCATACATATGTCTGCATCATCCTTTGATCCCTAGAGTTATAAGATGTGATAATAAGGTTAAAGACTTTTTTTTTTTTTTTTAGAGAAAATTAAATATTCAAACAGTTGTGAAAAATAGTTCAAATTAAAGCTGTAGAAAACAGTACAGTATCTTAAGATTCTGGCTGTGATAATTAACAGAGATGATCTGCTCTGAAGTACATTCTAAATATTTATAAATTCATGAAGAGGGAGGGAAGAGGTGTGTCTTGTGAACATTACAGTGCCTAGCAAAAAATATGAGAGAATGAAATCTAATAAATGCACTTCCATAATGAACATTCTCTGTTAGGTTTTGGTGATGATAGATATACTTTTTCAGCTTTGCTCTGGTAAGTGTTTAAATGCATATTTGACCAGAGGAGCATTCAAATCACACTTCTCAAGGATGGTGCCACAATGGTATAGTGCACATCACTTGTTATTTTCTCCTGTAATGTGCCAGAACTTTTAACTGTGTGGGAGTGAAATTTCAAATGAATTGCTGTTCTGATTAACATATTGTATCTATGACCCAAAGTTTATGGGGTTCTGGAAAGGTTGGGTTGTTTTATTTTTTTCCTTTCCAAAGAAAATTTTATTTGAGCAGCACTTCAGGCTATACAGACAGCCACAAAATAAAGTACTTTTTGCCCCAGAGATCTGTTGTGTTGTTGTATATCTCTATGAAGTGTTATTGTCATTAAACTTAATGCAACAAGTCACCACATAAACTCAAAAAATGCGCCAGACAAGTAAAAGCTAAATGCAATTTTAATAAACAGAAGAGAGAAAATAATACCTTACAAAAAGTAAATTATTTGGTATACTTCATACTTGACAAGATTGAATAGAAATGAGTGTTTAGCACAATGGACGTATAAAAACTTGAAGGTTGAGAAATGTGCACGTGAAACAAAGACACACTCTTGTTAGTTCCTTCTTTCCTGTTAAGTACCCATAGTGCTTGTTGGTGTGGAGTATTGGCTGTCTTTTGAAATGCTTTGAATTATTAATTGTTCATGAAGCAGAGTATGCGGTTGTCTGGATCTGAATATGGGGTTGGTTATTGAGGATAAGAAGGCTTCTTTAAAGCAGTTTATGTGTAAAGTAACTGAACTGTGTTTGTGAGAGCAAGGTGGCTGTTTCCATGCTCATGGATCCTGAAGTGTGAGGGTGGTTAATATGAGTTGCTGGTTCTCTCTCCATCCTAAGATGGTTGTAGAAGGAAGTAACTTCTTACTCTTGTAGCCATTAGTAGTCCTTCAGGAAAAGATTAGTGTCTTAATAATATTTTTTAATATTCTAATTGGGTGTTTTGTTACTGACAGAAGAAAATTGGCCAAAAACTAAGTGTACATTTCGCATTTTTCGTTAGCTTCTTATTTTGACTCCAAAGTGGTGGACTCTTAGTTACACTACTTTTGGATACAGCCTACCTACCTATCTTCAAATAATTGAAATTTAAATAATAATATAAATATAATATAAAATAATATATTTAAATAATACTAAATAATATTATAAGATAGACTTAATTCTGTTATCCTGTAACCATTACTTGAAATAAATACATTTTTCTCATAATGCATAAAATGATATCTCTCTATGCAAATTTGGTTTGAGACATACTAGTCCAATTTGCATTGAGATGTTTGACTCCAATAGAAATGTGGTAATTACTATTTTTTAAATTGTACTTACATGAAATATAATATTTATCCACTCAAGGGTTGCTTTTACAAGATTGCTGGTACTACAGGAGTGTTCATTATAGTTTAGCCTTTGCTTTCTGATATTTTATCTTTTCTATAGATTTCCATGTATACAGCTGTTGAAAAACTAGTTTGCTTTGGGCAGTGGTGTTTGTTGAGAAGGGAATCTTACCTGAATTGACCTTGGATGTAGGATTATCAGCAAATTCCATTTGGAAGGGACTTTAGGGGAGGTCCTTGTTCCAACATCCTGCTCAAAACAGGGTCATTTCAGAGGAATGACCAGGTTGCTCTGGCCATTTCCCAGTGTGTTCTTTCAAACCTCCAAGGATGGGAATGTATGGCCTCTCTGTGCAGTCTTTTCCACTGATTTCACTGCCCTCGTAGAGGTGGGGGATTGTGGGTGTGTGAGTTTTTTCTTATGCCCAGTCTGAACCTCTTGTATCAGTTTTTCTTGAACCCTCCTAAAGGAGAGTTGAGAGGAGAATTAGTCTAATACCAACATGTTCTTGACCATGTGGTGTCTTGAGATGTGACATGATCTATCACAGCTGTGTCTTTGTCTCCTGCCATGATGATGGTGTTGATCATTACAGTTATTGATTGCTTTCTTTTCCTGGTGTTTTGATCTAGAAAGAGACTGTGGTATAGATAGTCACGATCTTAGTGGCAAAATTCCATCAGTCGTACTTTTTCTATAGTCATTTAATTGTCAAAACAAACTAATCTTAATCATGTCTTCTAAGATGTAACAGATGAATTTGAAGTAATTCTTACTCTCTGCAGCTTTTTGTAAAGTTCAAATTAGTTCTTCACAGGACCTATAAAATTGATCAATTAGGGCACACTTTTTGCCCTAATTGAAAACAGAGAGAAAAATTTGCTGCCTGTTTTTTTACTGGATACTGAATAGATGTTGAGAATACCATAGTCATTAGTTCAGTTACTTTGAAATAAAATTAAGTGCTTAAATTTCTGTCCCTTTTTATCTCCGTATTGTATGTTTGTCCTCCAAACATCTTTGTTTACTATCTGCATATGCTTTAGTCTTTTTATATATCACTGTATATTATGTCAGCCCTGTAATTGTGATGGTGTGAATGCATTTTTGGAGAGTGTAACATCAGTTAATTTAATTGAAAGAACTTTCTTATTTTATAACTGAATCAGTTCAAAAAGGGCATAAAGTTAACTTTATAACTGAAAAATGCAGGCCTTAAAGAAAGATCTGTCCCAGCACAGCCCACACCAGAATCTGAGGAGACTGTCCAGCCTGCTGAAAAGTCATATGTCGAATCAGGTAAGACCTTTTGTGAATCATAGGTGAAACAAAAGACATTATTTGAACTATAATTCTGTGTCATTAACATGCAGACTCTTTTATAGATTTTGTGTTGCTTATCTACTGAAGTTTGTCTAACCGGAATCATTGTTTGCAACTTCCTATAAATCGCTGACCATGAAAATTGTAAAATGTCATGGTGACCATTGTAGGTGTAGCACATCAGAATAACCTTCTGATGATGTGTGGTTGTGGTTTAGATTGATTTCCAACTGTATATCCAACCAGAATAACAGCATATTCTTCACCCTAAAAAAGAAACAAAACCCTCTCAACAACCAACTTAATAAGATAATAAAGTACTCACTGTTCTGCTAAAATTACTAGTATATAATAAATACAATAAATGAAGTTCCTACTATTAAAAAAACAGTAAACATTTTTAAAGCCCTATACTATTAGTAGAATGGATTAGAATTAAGAGATATTAAAAAAATCTTTTACATATCACATTTCACATATGTGATTTGGATTAGTGTTATTCAGAGAGTACATGTTTTTTCCTGGTTATTGAAGAGGCTTATCCTGTGTGATGTCTACGGGAACCTAATACATAAACATACAAATCCAGAGCATATGTCCAGTGGAATCTATGGAATATAGATTTTGTTTCAAAAGACTTGCATTACTTTTCTTAGGATATCAATTAGAAAATATATCAAGATATGGCTTCCTGGTTGGGAGGTTTTTTTTCTGTGTGTGTGGCTTTTGTTTTTGTGGGACCATTTTTCGTAACTGGTGCCATTTTGGATCCTTATTTGAAAATGCAGCTGTTACCTGGTTTAGAGCTTTTCTGTCAGATGTGTAATTGTAGGGTTTTCTCAATGTTAATTTCAGGATATTTATATGAAGACAATACTTCATACAAATTCCTGTTATGTCCTGGGTTGGTGTGTTGGATGGCAATCACTTGTCCATGAAACCAGTTTGATTTTTCCTGGCAATTCATAGCAGAACAAGACCTTGATATTGTAATGTGTCTGTTTTCCCTGTTTATGAAGTTGACAGAACCCTACTTCTGCAACTCACATTTTGTTGTCAAATATGACTTCCTAGTGCTGCTGCCTAAATTGTAGGAAGATAATGGATAAAAGTGTTAGTAAATTAATTCCTTAGAAGAGAGTTCTTGGTTTGAATAGTTATAATACCTGAAGTTCTTATTACCACAGGAAAAATATATGTGCAAAAAATGCAGTGTAGATAAATTCTTCCAATTCATCTTCAGATGGACAAATCTGATGTGATAGTTGCATACTTTCTAAATTGGAGAATAAGCAAGACAAAATTGTTTTTCCAATTGTGTGAGTTGCAGAGGTTCACCAGGTCAGTCTCTAGGGAACTTTGTGAAAGGGATTAAGAACATTATTGATCATACTAAAAGCTGCAAGCCTTGAGTTAATGTTTAGATTTTGCCTTTTCTGCTCACCTTCACTGCAATTTATAATCCTTTTAGAACACAAGACTGCTGACATAGAATTGGAAGAGGAAATTCAATCTGTTCTTCGTGAAGCTCTCCATTCCCATCCTGGTAATGCATTAACACTTAGAAATCACTGAAGAGTTTATAAATACTGCCATTGGCTAGATGAATCTCAGAGTCTGGTTTTGGAATGCACTTAAAGAACTTTTGCCTGCATAAAACATTCAAATCAACTCATTTGTCATTTTCAAAAAAATTCAGAAAGTTCAGTCACCAAATCCTAAAACTGCCTTCTTATCCAGACTTGTTTAGCAGTAATAGCTCAAGTCAGTTATTTAGCAAAAGCTTCCTGAAAACACTGTGTAGAGGGCAAGAGTGGACAGAGCAGAATTGGCCTTTACTGTGAGCAAAGAAGGTGCTGGCAAGTTGGGTTTATAATGCTGGACTGTGCAGATAAGTTTTCTGTAACTCCCCATTCCCTTTGGAGACTAGCTGGAAAGCACAAAGGGTGTACTGAAGACTGAATTTTGCTGGTAATAGAATATACCAAAGAAAATTTATTCACTAACAATCTGCATTATTGATTAGGAGAGAGGCATGAAGATGTAGATGAAAGTGTAAGTGACCACTGGCAAGCAAAGGAAGAAACACATGGGGAAACTTTTGAAGCTCCTGCAACAGATGACATGCTCAGAGAATTTGAGACTGAAATTCCAGAAGCATATGAGACACCAGACTCAGTTCGGAAAGGTATCTGAATGACTAAATACATTTAAAATAAATTTCCAAAAGAAAACCCAAACCAGACAAATGAAAATGTGACTCATTAAAACTGGGACTTTTAATTTCTGCTAAAACAGAGCCTTAAGAAGTGTCAACGACATCCTTATCTAGCAAATACATATATTTTAAATCAAAATGGGGAATTTTAGTGCTATGAGTTTTGGAATCCAGGTAACCATATATTATTAATTGCTACTCTATGGGCTTTCAACAAAATTATTCTGTGCTCCAAATATGCATATCTCTTTCCAAGAGAGGCATGACTGTAATCATACAGAATGGTTTTGGTTGAAAGGGGTTTTAAAGATCACCTGGTTTTAACCCCTCTGCCATGAAGGGCACCTTTCACTAGACCAGATTATTCCAAGCCTGACCTTATTATATCTAGCCTGGCCTTGAACATTTCCAGGAATGAGGCATTCACTGGAAATGAATGCCCAGCTTCTCTGGGCAGCTGTTCTCTGAAGCACTGTTTCAGTGCTTTGTCACCCTCACAGTGAAGAATTCTTGCTTTATATCCAATCTAAACCTGCTCCCTTTCAGTTTAAAGCCAAAACCCCTTTCCTATCAATACATGCTCTTGTAAAAAAAAAATCCCTCTTCAGCTTCTTTGTCCCCTTAAGATCCTGAAAGGCTGCAATTAGGTCACCCCAGAGTATTTCTTCCTCCAGGCAGAACCTCAGTTCTCAGCCTTTTCTCACATCTTTGGAGAGGCTTTCCATGTCCAGTTTTTCATCTACCAGCACCCCCAAGTGCTTCTTGGTGTGGCTGCTCGCAATCTGTTCATTCTCCATCAGTAAAACCTGTATGGAGTCTGTTTCTGGACCTTTTGGTTTATTAAACTAAATTTTAAAGTTTATTTACACAGTCTTTTCTATACTTTATTCTCATTCTTCTTTCATTCAAATATGGCTCCCTAAGAGCATTAATTAAATTTAAGTCCTGCAGAGTATCATATAATGAAGATACTCATATCTTGTCACTTTGGGGCATTGACTGGGTGATGAAAATTGAAGTCAGAATATTAAAGCAGAGTCATATGATCTAAATCCAACTAGGGGAAATTTTTCTGAATTCTCTTTATTTGTACTGTTGAAATTTTTACTTATCTCTCAATATGTCTTGATACCTTTTGATAAAACTCATGTAATCGATGTCATATAAAAGTTTTGATGTCTGGAAGTGCAGTGAGATTCTTTCTTCACAACCAAAGTAACTCTTCAGTCTGGGTCTATTAAACCTCCTTGTTTCTGTATGTCTCTTACTCATCCACAGCACAAGTCAAAGTAGAAGACTAGAGGAGAAATTCAGATTCTGTTCCCTTTAAGTCTTTGCAATTAAGAAGACGAAGTGAACATATTCTTCTTTCTTCCAATTTATTCAGAATTTTCTGTGAAGAGTCCTCTTTTTTTGAGAAAATGTGTATAGAGTTTATTCATATACACACATTCTCAATATTGTATATAAATAAAATAGTAACTTTTTTTCAGTCTATGTATACATGTCCTGCTGCCATTAGGGGAAATTTGCTTAGAATTACAGCTTAAAAATATTACTGTTCTTATATAATATCTGTTAGAGGGTTTGTGTTATTCTTTATTGATTTTAAAAATGTTAAAATTTGTGCAAATGTATTTATTTCTCAGATGCTGATCCTATGGTGGAGGATATTGGAGCAGTGGAGTCTGAACCATACGAAATTCCAGGTATCTTTGTTTTTCAATACTCAGTAATAATGGTTTTCTGCCTCAATATAACAAATTACATGAGAGAGAAAAATAGAAAAGGTTGGACTGGTTTAGAAATAGATCGTTTTGAATTTGTGGGGTTTTTTTTTCTCTCAATACTAGTTGTTATTGTCTTGGAGAATTTTACTTTGGGATGACTGTATCATACTTGCTGTTGAAAATCTTTATTACAAATAACAGGTGACAGGTATGGAAACTTTGCTTTCATTGGTGCAAAAACATTATTTTTTATGTGTTTCTGGCTGTTGTGTGTTATTGGGGGCTGGGTAGGCAAGTGATCTGTGGTTGTACAGTCTAAAAAGAGAAAATGAGATTTATTGCTTATATTGTCTTCAGGCACTCTGTATTACTAAGGTTCTTCTAGAATATTTTTCTTGGCATTAGGAGCATCCAATTTTTTGTACCTTTCCTTCAGAACAAACAGTTTCCTTCAGAACTGTTTGTTCTTTGTGGCTGACTCTGTTATCAGAGAGTGAAGTCGACACCAAGGACATAATTCTGAACTATCCTTGTACTGTCTTTCTGCACATCTTAATTAATCTTGAAAGCTTCTTGAAATTTGGCTCGGACCAATCTGATTACCTTATATTCATACAATGGCATTAGCTCATCTTTCCCATTATATTGCAATTTCCCTACTGGCTGATAAGTATTTTCTTCAGGATTCTACCCATGTTGCTTTACAGTATGGACAGTCTCTTGCATTTACATTAGACATTGATTTCTATTTGTACTACGCTTCTTATGTTTGACTTAGTGTTAGCTCTAGACTTTGCAGTTGTGTTTGGTGACACAGATGTGACAGAAAAATATTGTATTTGTTTGATACAGCTAAAACTGTTTATTCCAAACTGTGTGGGGGATAACTGGTTTACAATCCAAGCTGTTATACTGCCGAAGTGAAAGGATAAGCTACTCTACCTTCACTACTGTGTTTTCTCAGGTGTGTCATGAGTATATTAACAGCATTGAAAAGAATTGTAGTTTTAGAGGAAAATAACCCCCAAATTTAGCTAGGTAATGAAAGGAGGTAAATTACTCTAAATCTGAAATGCTAAAGTATGTATTTTGCTAGGTCAAAGGTCAGTTTCTGGTTCATATCTTGTCTTCTATAGATCCATCACCAAGTAAACCTCCTACACATTAGTAAAGAAGATACCTTGCAATTTTAAAGATGGAGGATGTTTGCATTTTTTCATCATATAAATATTAAAAAACATTGATGGAGACCAATGGCTGTCGTTGCTCTAGTTTTCCTACAGAGTGTAGCAGAAGGCTGGAAGAGAGGCCCAACGCCTTCCATTAGGTTGCCATATGTCGAGTTGCAAGTGTCAGTATATAAAGTTTTAGTTTTTCAGTTTTCAGCTAAGGAGCTGCATTTAGCCATTGATGGACTCATCATGGATACAAGTTAAAACAATGAAATATTAAACATATTTCATATTTTTAATTTCAAGATATTTATTTGTTCGTATTTAATTTACAGCCTTAGATGATTATGTTGCAGATTTGGAAGAGAGAGTAAGTGATTCAGACACTCCAGGTTTGTAAATTTTCATTACTTCAAATGATAATGTAATCATACTTTTTAAAATGTGCTACAAAGTAATGTCATATTGACTGTTTCTTCACAGTTTTATTTTCAAATGGTTTTTAGATAGTTCAAAGTAGGCCCAATTTTTATGCCACTATGTTACCATTACATTTGTGAGCATAACACTCCATGAATCCAGTCTACAAATACTTAGATCTAAGTATTTTGTTCTGTCAGGAGTTTCCCAATCTAATCAATGGATTGATTATCCAACACCTACTTACATTCCTAACTTTAAGCCTAAATACAAATATGCATCAACTTGTTGTTTATGGTGTAGTTCCTGGCTGTATTTTATAATTCAGCTGTCACTTTCAAATAAGATATTGTAGTGTTAAGTTAGTATGATTGTTTCTTTCATTTTAGGCTAAATATGTGACTTTTTTTAAGCTCTCGTGTTATTTAGCTGTTGCATGAAAATTCAATTGGAATATAAAATATTAAATATTTCTCTTTAAGGTGACTCTGAGATAATGCCAGAAGATACTATGGAACATTATGCAGGTACAGTCCAAAGTCTTCTTTCTTTTTATTGAAGATTCACTGAATTTTGGCCCAAATCCAAGACAATGAGACACAACGACAAAAAAAAACCAAAACAAAACAAAAAACCCAAAAACCAAAAAACTAAACCCAAACAAACCACAACATATAGACATAATAACTTCCTAAGGAAATGATGCTAAACCTACCTGAGTACTACTTCTCTGTAATGTCAGTCAAAAGGTCAGAATAATATTTTGAGAGTTGAATTTCCAGGATAATGGATATTGGTATTTGTATAGAAATGTTTCTGTGGATAAAAAATAATTTAAATATGCCAGAGATGTTGCTATTAGTGTGATGTAAAGAAGAAAGTCATATCTCTTAAGTTTTTTTAAAAGCAAGGAAGCCATAACAAGAAGATGCCAAAATTACTCTGTAGAAGTTGGCTATATATAAAAATGATTTATAAATAATTCAGAATCAAAATATTTATGAATATTTATGAACTGTATAGGAAAGCCTGCTGATACTGCTTTCTTTTTTGAGTCTGTCTTTTGATGCCAGAAAATCAATCAGTTCTTCTCACAGGATCTTTTAGAAATCTTCACCTTTGCACTTTTATGAACTTTATTACAGTATGAACTACTATAGTTTCAAACATTTTATTTGAATAAACTTGACACTGTATGGTATTATTTGTGTGTCTTTATTGCCTTAAAATTCCATGAATTTTCACACACATCTTTCTTTTTCTTTAAACAGAGGATAGAGTGCATGAAGATTATAGTGAAGACCAAGGTATGACAGCTGCTATATTTAGTGAAATTACAGTGTTAAAATCTTTCATTAATACGCCAGTGGAATTACTTTGTTTAAAGATTTTCTATGCTACCACATTAACTTTGCAAGTTGTCAGCTAAGGTTTTGGGTTATCTGTTCAAACTTCTTGTGTTTGTAATCAGTCAATCTTTTAACACTGGTCCAAGTGTAGAGTATGCATGCTCATTATATTCCCATCCTGGTCCTAATGCCATAGTTTGTGTGTATGTGGAATAAGAACGTTGAAGGCTTTGCCTTGTTCCTTGTGAAACCCTGGCCAGGTCAGATGTGGTTTATTGAATCTGTTTAGCTCAGTTTCACCTTTTTACCTTTTCTTTCTCAGTATCCCCTTGTCTGCCGCTACCAGTTCTTTGGGAGTTACTGTTTAGTTTGATTTGGTTGATGATTTTCTAATGATTGCTGAGACCAAATCAAAAAGTAAACAAGAAGAATAGTAGTCACAGCCTTGAAACAAAGGTGTCGGGTTGTGATTCCTGCTGTGTTATCCTTCTGGAGACTACCACACTTCAGAATAGTTAAACATACCTTTAAGGCACTCTTATTTATTTCCCATGGTTATGTAACCTGAGCAAAGGACAGGGTTTCCTCAAAATATTTGCAACAGAAAACCTTGAGGTGCATTCTTTGTTATCGGGAGGTGAATTCCAGCATCCTCCTTTGGGATAGAAATCAACATTCCGTTAAAAGACTTTCAGTGGCCTAAAGGTGTGTACTTAGCCCTTAGTCTGTGTCTTTCTCAGTCTGCAGAAAATAATTATTTGCTGCAGTTATGGTGCCCTTGACAAAATGTCTCAGCACTAACAGGATAGAAAAGCAAGTGACTCTAGGTTTTTTTTCCCAGGGCTTATTTTTTACTTGCCTTTCCAGGCCATAGTTATTTTTTGATCAGTTCCTAATCCAGAATCACTTATCTTGCTTCTCACACCTAGATATGAAGAAGTGCAACTTCTAATCTTTACTTTTCATGCTTTTTCATGTGTAGTAGTAACACAAACAGAAAATGCTTTCATGCCCTTGTGAAGAGACATCTATATCTGCTTTTTGACTGAGTTGATCATGAAGGTTACAAAGTAAATTGCATCATCTCTTTTTAAAATCAGTTCCAAAAGCATTTAATATTCTGCAGTCTATTCTGGCATCCCAACACAATAACAGTGAATCACTGTATTTTGTGAGTCACAAAATACAGTGATTCATTTACTTCAGGAAGCAGCGGTTTCATGTGCAGTTGCCTCTCTGGACTGCAATGAGAGTTTTAAATAGTATCAGATAAATCCCCCTACACTTTCTTTATTCTTGCCAGTCCTCTGTTTAGGACAATATGGAGAACAAGAGCTTCAGTTCTTTTTTTCAAAAGGAAATTCTAAGGTAGCATGTGACTGTCAAAAAAACCCTATTATTCTTGGCTATTAAATTGTCAGGCTTCTTTATGTAGTAAATTATTCCCACAGTTCAACATAATCTATAGAAAACTACTTTCCTCTTGATAAAATTTGCCTTTTCACATCATAATTTTACCTTGCTTTCAAGTTCTACCTTGAAGGCATTCTGGTTGTGAGAGAAAACACAATGCGTCCTTTGTACTTTTTAGAGGAATTTAATTTCAGAGCTCTATCCTGGAGCAGTTGAGAAGAAAAAGACCAGTGGGTTGAGGCTGCCTTTCTGTCACACACCATTTTTTTTCCTTCTCAGTTGTCTGATTTCAGTCCATGGACTTTCAGGCATGTTCATGTTTGTGTGCTAGACACCATCTTAGCAGTTGCGCCTATTTTTCATCCCTTTTGTCTCTAGGCTTGTCTTTCTTGTACCTTTTTGCATGGTTTTGGTTGGATTGAAAGTGAAACAGATTTACTTTGTTTTTAGAGCAGAGAGATTTTGACTCCATTTTTCTGAAGTGAAAGAATGCTTGGAGGCCATTGTGGAGATCTGAAATCCTTCCTCTCAAATGTGAAGCTTGTGGTTTTGGTATGGACTCCAAAACTGCAGTTGAATCCCACAAGAAGATTCACATTAAAGTCTTCATATGTAATTGTCTGTGAAATCAACACAGCTTTGAGTCCATTTATCTTCCCCATTTCTATCACGTTTCCCCTCTTCTGGCAAGACCTTCTGGTGAAATATTTTCTTCAATCCTCATGGTTTCTAGAGTTCTCAAAGCTGAAGACAGTGTCAGATGATTGCTGGCCACAGCAGTCCAATTTCTTTTGTGACTCTGGCTTTGTGAGGCTTGGTTCTTAATTCAGATCAGGAACTGCTCTAATAGGATCGCTGTAATCACATCACTGAGGTTATTGCTAATGCTAAAAATTCTGTAGTGGAACTAAGTGCCCACAGTGGTGTGTGTAAATGATTGATCATAGAATTTGGAATACAAGAACTCAGTTTTTGTACATAGCTACCTTTGTAGTTTTATGAAGAGTTTCCTACATTTTCTGGCCATGAAACTAGAAAAGGAAGGCAAGCTTGAGATTTTCATTAGAAAGAGTTCTGCATGGTTTTTCTAAGGATATTCTCTAAGAATTCTTTTTCAAAGGAGTGTGGGGAGAGCCACACAACCATTTGTAAGATACAACAATATCTTAAAAGATACAATGCTAATAGAAAGGTGGGTTTGTTTGTTTTTTTAATGTTATGTAAATAACATTTTTCAGATGAAGATTAGTACCTGTTAGATGAGTAAATTAGCCAAACTGAATGACCTTTTTCAGTCTAAAATTTACAGTAAGTGTATATTAAAAATTCAGACAATGGATAGCATTTTGTCTATTTTCAGACATTATCTAAAATGAAATAATGAATATTCTTGATCTGTTTCTGCTTCAGAATTATAAAAATTAGACTGACTATGCAAAGATTAAGAGTAGGAGAATTGTAACAACTGTACTGAATGATAGATCTGTTCCAATTGTTTTCAGCATTTCATCTGTGTGATAGCAACTCTTGAAATTTCATCAATATGGTTTGGGGTTTTTAGTGTAGAATTTCTACTACAAGATCCGGAAAGCCTTCACATATCTATTCCCCCAAACCAGGGGAAGTATTTTTAAGGCCTTTGCTTTTGCCATTAACAAAATAACTATATGTTTAACCAAATTTTTAGAATACTTTGTGCATATCAGCCACCCAGGAACTTTATTTTCCTTTCCTTTCAGAACCAAAACATGAAAAGCAGACTGACACTCAAGATACAGGTATATACCTATGTGTGTGTATATATATATATATATATATATTTGTATACACACAACAATATTTTAGACTAATTAGCATAAATATAATAGACTTAATCCTGCTGTTTATGTATGTTGAAGTACACAACCTCTGTGACCTTCAGTCATGCCATTGCCAGTTCTGGCAAAGGTTCATTAGAGCCTGTATTGTTATGAAGTTAGATTTTTGACTGTGAACTGAGAAACTTTGTTCTAATATGCTGTCCTTGAGGATTCATCTTTAAGATGTCAGCTGACACAGAGTGGGGTGTCTGAGGCTTTTAGTGGACAGCTGGACCACAGTAGTTCATCACAGACACTGCTTCTTGTAATGAGCCCTCCTCATAACCCTGCAACCAGTGTGTAACATCATTCAGAATGTACAGGCTGTCAGTGCTAGCTCTGCTTTGATGCAGACCTCTTGTTGGTGCTTTTGTCTAATTAGTAGAAGCAATTACAAATTATTTGTCTGCAGTATTCTCTCTGGGTTCCTGTATACTTTGTTGTCTTGAAATGCCAGCCCTTTTGAGAGTCATCTCAGACAGCTAACTGAAAAAAACCCAGTCATTTAGTTTAGAAGGAAGTCAAGAACTTCTATAGTGTAAATAAATTGTAAATATCTGTTTTGTCACCTTTGTTATCATAATCTTAAGAGGACAGTCACAGGAGTTAAAAAAGTGCCATATTAAGAGAAAACAAAAAAAAATTTTTCAGTAGAATCCATTAAGTTGTAGAATTTCTTTGTTGTGCTTCAGGAAGGAAATTAGGACTCTCAAATGAATTGCATATTTATACAAACAAGACTTTTAAAGTTTATAGGTATGCAGGCTTTTTGGTTGGTTTTCACTATGTCTAGGAGATGGAGTTGATGCTGCAAAGCAGGAACATGGGAGTACTTGAAAGTATTTAGAAAGATTAAGAAGTGGTTTTAAAATTTCAGTTATTGTATCAGAATCCAAACAACAATTGCTGAAAAGGTAAAATTTTGAAATAACTAGTTGATGAATAGAAGAGCTATTTAGTGAAACAGGAAAGAATATTTACGGTGTATTTTTTTCCCCTGGAATTCATCAAAGTGTCTGCTTGTTAATGTCAGGTAAACATGTCTACCTGCTGGCTCTGTTCTTTTGTGTAGAGTGTAAGTTCCATCACTTGAGGGCTTGACTTCATTCTTGCTCTGAATTGAATGTTTTCTTAGCTTTTGAGTACCTTCCAAAGGGGGTGAATGAAGCCATAGGGCCAGGTATATATTTTATAATTGTGATCTTAGTGTTTTGATGAAATATGTATGTTTGAAAAACAGATTAAAAAAAAGCAAGCTGATTATACACTTTTTCTTCCCCTTTTTGTACTTATAGAGGAAATTAATGAAGATTTTGATATTGGTAAACACCTCTCAGGTATGAAATTTTATAGCTTGAAAACACTTTTTTCTTCCATTTATATTTATTAATACAATTTAAAAAAACCAACCAAACAAAAGAAAAACACAGCAGAGAATAGAATAGTGAATAGTTTGGATTAGAAGGGATATTTGAAGATCATCTTGTTCAATGTCCCTGCCATGTCTAGGGACATCTTATTCTTAGTCAGCTTGGTCAAAGCTCTGTCCAGCCTTACTTTAAACACTTCCAGGGATGGAGCATCCACTACTGCGCTGGTCAACCTGTTCCAGTGTCTCACCACACTCATCATAAAAAGTCTCTTTATGTCCAATCTCTGTCTCCTCTTTTTCACTTCAAAATCTGTTGTCCTGTTGTTCAGGATTGAGTAAAAAAATCTCTCCATCTCTTTTACAAGATCCCTTATTGAAAGGCTGTGGTAAGGTCTCTCTGGAGTCTTCTTTTGTCCAGGCTGAACAGTCCCAGCCTGTCAGCCTGCCTTCCTGGGAGAGGTGCTCCAGCCCTCTGATCATCTTCATGGACCTCATCTGAACCTGTTCTTACAGGTCCACGTCTGTCTTGTACTAAAAACTCCGGAGCTGGATGCAGCACTCCTTAGGGGGTCTTGGGTGAGACTCCTCTTCAGATGCATGCACGGATGCAGTTGGCCTTCTGGGCTGGGAGTGCACACTTTTGGCTCATGTCCAGTGTTTTATCCACCAGAATATCCAAGTCATTCTCCACAGGAACGCTCTCAATCTCTTCTTCTCCCAGTGTTTATTGATACTGGAGGTTGCCCTGACCCTGGTGTAGGACCTTGTATCTGGCCTTGTTGAACTTCATGGCATTCTTATGAAGTGCTTATTCCATTGCTCAAATTGGAGCCCTGTGGTAATTTCCCACATTGCTACTCAGAAAGGTTATGTTGTAAATTTTTGTTTTCTGTATTGTTCTTGAGGAATTTTAAATGAGTAATGTGTTAAATGTAATTTAAAGATCTGCTCTAAGAAGTTAAAAATTTTGTTAAGGAAGTTTTTCTCAAACATGATGTTGGTTGAGTCAGCTAGAGCAAAGCGATCGAAGCAGTTTAGCTTGAGCTACTGTGTGTAGGATTTGATGCTGTATTTATTTAGGTTTTCTATTATAAAAATGCATTCTGGTATGATTCAAAGGGATAACATACATTGTTTCACTCAAACATCAATTGTAACTAAAATCCTTCTGGTGTGTGCAGTAGAATTGTACTTCTAGTAGGCAAACTTTTGGTTGTGAAATGCATTTTGTACCATTTTTCCTACTCTTCAGTTAACTGAACTTGTTAATTTGTAATTTAAGTCTTCCTTTTTGTTTAAAACTAATTCAATTGTGTGGCTGCTGGGAAATAAAAACAAAATTATGAACGTAATGTGAATGACTTTCAACACTTCTTTTCTATCTAGGAATAGAAAGTAAGCAAACAGAAGATGATGTGGCCATTGAACCAGAGGAATCAGGTTTGTATATTGTGTTTTCCATGCGTTTGCTACTTAAAAAAATTAATAATTGGGAACGATAAATACTATGGAATAGGATTCTATGCTGCAATAAAAATACTTTCATAACTTTTTCTGCAGCTATTTTCCTTCAAGGACAAACATATTGGTGTTTTTGGGATCTAGCATCTTGGGCTTTTTAATGACATGTTTAATGGCTTAGAAAGCACTCTTCAGTTTTAGAAGTTGAGAGTGCTTTTTTACAGAAAAACTTGTACTGATAAAAATGGCCATATTTGGTTATATGATGGAAGTGAAAATTTCTTTTCCATGCTCTGTTTTCCACCAGCCAGTCAGGTGTGCATACTCAGGAAAGAGGGTATATGTAAGGAATAAAGTGGAATGTCTCCTAAGCTTTGAGCTCTTTATTTATGGGCTTCCCAAATCAGAGAAAGTATTTCCCCTCTTCAATTCTTCCTATTATTTACAACCAGCATCCTGGCTGGTTGTAAATAATAGATGAAGTTTTTCTGATGAGCCTGACTCCTTCCAAGCATGTGTGCAGACTTCCGTTTCTTAGCAGTAGTAGCACTAGGTGATGTGTGACATGTCTAATTTAAACATACATATAGGTTTTAAAGTAACTGAATTTTGAAGTCAAGTATTTCACAGTTACATCTAGAAACATAATAGGTATATATGGATGTTTTCTAAGTCCATGCTGTAGTAGCATGTGAAATTGGGGTATGTGTGCTTTAGAAAGTATAGTTTCAGAAATTTGAAGTATTATTTTTGAAACTGTGCAGTCCTACAGTAGGCTCATTGGCCTATCTGAGTCTATCTCTAGGAAAAATTTAGCCAAATAAGAAGTTTGCATCCCACTTCTGCAAAAGTGGCATTACAGAGCACTCTTAATAGGTCACTGTGGGGAAAAAAAAAATGAGCTTTTTGTAAATATTTGGGAAGCAGTTGAGTTTTATATTTACATTTACATTTTTTACTTGCAGAGAAACCTGTTAAAGCTGAAGATTATTTAGATGATGTTCAAGTCGGTAAGTCAATCTCAGATGCTTGTTTTTTTTCCTAAAAAAGTAAAGCTGTAGCTACATGGAAATTAGTAATCAAATTACTTTGCAAAGGGATTCTTTATTGTCAAATAAAGATGGTTTAGAAGCAATAATTTTTCTGTTATACTTGATAAATGCCAATGATACTTATTGGGTTATATGAAAGCATTCCAAATAAACTAATTTGTTTTAATTTAGAACTTATTTTTAACAATTTCACATAGAGCTGAATACTTTTGGAAGGGAAATACAACAATTTCAGGTCTCAATATGTGTGTACTTCCTCTCCAGAGAAAGTATCATGGACAGTGATAGTGTTACTTCTCTGCATGTCAGTCGGATCTGTTAGAATCTGACAGTGGCACATTACTTGGGGCACTGATCTGGAAACAGGGACTGTTTTGTCAGGCCATCACATTTTTCTTGGTATAACTGATTTTAAGAACAAGAGCACTTCCAGTTCTTCAATCTGTTGCCTAACAGTAGTAGACATGGATTTTACCAAAACCATTTTTAGCATGGGAAGTGGCTTCTAAATTCAAGAACTGCATATTGTTACATTTCTTGGAGTTAATTATTGCAGTTTGTTAGTTTGGTTATTGTACCAAACTAGTTGTGTTGAGTGGAACACAGAGTTGTATCTCAGGGCAGTACATCAGAGAAGCTGCAATCCAAGACCTCTAACAGCTGTATTTTTGTTTTGTGCTGGTTAGCCTGACCCCCTTTCTAGGGGAGGAGGAGCTCTATGCAGGAGCTCTTACAAGACGTGGTGCCCAGAGAGTTCTGCATTGTTGGTTTTGTTTTTTTTTATCCTTACAGCATTTGTATTTGGTTCTTAGTCATGCCAAAAGTAGCCAGAGAAGTGAAGAAATCACAGGAGGCCTTTTGTGGTTGTCCAGTACAGATTGGAGGCATGGTTTAGTTCATGTTTGAGTTTGTATGCTGAATCTTAGCTGAAGGGCTTGCAATGCTCATATTGGTGCAAACTGTGTTGTCTGCAAGGTCTTTCCGAGCTGTTTATCACAACAGCCATGTGATGTGTTGGAAAGTTTGAAGCCGTAGCTATTATTTAATAGATGGATTAACTGAAAGTGTTTTGTTTCATAATGAATATGAAGTATTCTTTACCAAAGCTTATAATCAGCGTAGAAACAAACAGTAATTATCTTTGACAGTATGGGCAAGAAGTTCAGCAAAGGTAGTCTTCACTCTGTTTGTTATGCATTAAGTTGGAACTGGAGAAGAAGAAAATGTTTTTTCTCAGAAAAGGTTGCTATTTAAAGTTAAAATAACAAAAAGACCCTTAAGAAGTATTACAAAATTTCAACAGTAGATAATTCCACTACACAATGTCAATTGAGGATATTGAGATGATTTCTTGAATTACAGATACTATTTTAAAATTCAATTCAGCATAGAAGTGCCAAGTTGAAATCTTGGAGTTTTGGAACCATATTTCTATCACTTTTTGTATTGTAATTTATGGGTCAGTCTTGCAGCTGTAAATTAATTTTTCTACCTTCACAAAAAAACCCCAAAAATAACTTAGATGTTTTATATACTAGTGATGGATTTTGAAATATGCCATTTTGAATCATAGCATCATTGAGATAGCAAAAGACCCTTAAAGTCAAGTCCAGCTTTAGACCTAAAACTGGCAAGTCCACCACTAAACCATGTCCCCAAGTCTCATATCTACACATTTTTCAAATGCCTTCAGGCTGGGGACTCCACCTCTTCCTTGGGCAGCCTGTTCCAATATTTGACTATCCTTTTGGGGAAGAAATTTTTTCTCACAACCAATCTAAACCTTTCCTGGTACAACTTAGCACTGTTTTCTCAAATTGTCTCTTGCTACTTGGAGGAAGAGACTGACCCTCACCTGGCTACAACCTCCTTTCACACATTTATGGAAAGCACTAAGCTTCTTCCTGAGCCTCCTTGACTCCCGACTAAACAACCCCAGCTCTGTCCTCTAGACTTGCTGCAGCACTTCAATGTTCTTCTTGCAGTGAGGGGCCTAAACTGAGCACAGGACTTGAGATACAGCCTCCCCAGTGCCAAGTGAAGAGGAATGATCACTCCTCTAATTGCAGATGTATTTACAAATAAGATAGTGTAATTGAACCTAGTTATCCACTCTCCTTTTGTAGGATTGTGATACTGAGACTCCTTGCCATTTTCAAACACTGCTAGAATGAGAAATAGCTTGTTCTACTTTGAAATGATAGGTATTTCTGAATAAATCTTTTGGATTTATTATTTTTTTACTTGTGGTTGTTCTCAAAATTGGTGCAACACACCATTTAAATCACAAAATTACCTTAACATCTATCCTGGCATGGCTTTTGGAAACGCATAATAGCAGCAGTACTCAAAGGAATTAATTATTTTCTTTTTTCCTTCATAGGGAAAAAGTGAGATAATCAATCAAAATGTGTTTTAAAGACAGTTATTACAGTAATTAAAGACACAAGTAATTATTAGATGTAGTACAATGTTCATAATCCTTTGTTTAGGAAGTAGAAAATGAAAATAATTTGATCAGCACAAAATCCGAGCACTGCACTAACTTAAGAATCCTTACAATTTTTGTAGTTATGTGGGAACCACTCTGAGGGCAGAAGAACCAGTATTTATAACTTTTTGAAAAAGTCTTATTGTTTCAGCACATAGCATTCAAGTAGCATCTTGGGAAACTGACAAAGGAAACATAGAACATGTTTATGTCATTAATGAATAAAATTTGATTAAATTATTCGTTCTTCTGCTATTAAGTATATTTACCCGTCTTTTTTTTTTTGTGAATATTTCATTTTGAAAGCAACATTACTCTAAAATTTTCCTCTCAGATTATGACATTCATGTTTCGTGGGTTTCTTTTATATCTTCTTTGTGATGGAGGATTCAGTATGGGAGATTTTGTTGTCAGGAGTCTTTCTTCTTTGTTTGTGGTTTTATTTCATCAGTTGCTCAAAGCTAATATTTCCTGTTCTTTAAGCAGTAACAAACAAAACTTCAGGCATTGTAAAAGAAATTCAGAAATGTCACTGCATTCCTTATTCTTCAGTGGTTTAAATTATGCAACTGCATATGAAGCATGGTGGCACCAGTTTGTATCAAGTTTGGAGAAGTTGTTTGGTTTTTAGCTAAAACACAGGAACTTGGTTTTTTGGAAAGAAAGCAGGAGATAGCTCAGAGATGTTAGGAACATTCTCATATCACCAGGGAAGACACTGGGTGTGGGATTTGAATATGCTGGAGTGCAAGTCAAAAAGCTTTTTGCTGACTTCAGGGCACATCATAAGAAAGTTCATACTAGTCAAGTACATCCTTAGGTACCTGTAAGTCCTGTTTTCCAATTCTATGAGTTTACTTCTGAAATTACTGCCAGTATCCTTTTCCAGATGTGGGACAGTTCTGCTGTTATAATCTGCACCTTTATAAACTAATGGACTTTATAAACTAATGGTTTGATAAACTAGCTTGAAATATTACTGATTCAGGTTTTCTTGCTAATCCTGCTTTACACTGGCACATAAATTGCAGTGGTTGTGATAGAGTGGTACTTGTTGGACACATATTTTAGGGAGACATTGCAGGTTTAGGGGGCAAATACAAATACTCTCTGTATTTGCTTGTATGTGTTTAGATTAAAATATCTACGAGTTGCTCCACTCCTCCCCTCCACCTTGTATCCTTGATGTTTTTATAACTCCACATTTAGTTTACCAGCTGCTGAAACCCCTTATGTCTAGAGAAGTTTCCACTTTAGAACCTTGACCCTTCCTCATTCCCTGGCTCCTTTTTTCTGGTTGCCTTTAACTTTAGCAAATAAAACCCAAAATCAAACCAACACTAAAACCCAAACCAAAATCAAAATGTTTAAATGGATTTGTGGCATGGCCTAGATATTCTTTACAAGGTAAATAAAGTGCCATATGGTAATAAAAAATACTTCAGTTTGTTTCCCACTTTATACAGCAACTTTGTGTCTATTCATTAAGGTAGCTCTTAGAAATGATAGCTTTTTCATTTTAACTAGTCTGATACAAAGTTGCATTTTTTAGCATTTAAGATTTTTGTTGTTGTTTTAGAGGAAGTTGTGTTTTGGTTGGTCCTTTAATATAGATTTCCCCTTATTTTTTCAGATACTTAAAGCTTCAAAAGAAAAGTCCCTACATCAGGAGGACCAGTCCTAACCATACGCTACAAAAGGGGAGCAGATGGTTGAAATAGACCTTATGCTGTAATTACCAAGCAGTTCAGGGTTTGGGGAATGAACACTAAGATGTTGTAAATGGGTTTTAGCCAACTGTCATTTTAGTAAGCATTTTTAACACTTGGATGTTTAGTTTACATTCCTGTCTGATATTATTTTCCCTTGGTCAAGTTTAGTGAATTCATTATTTTTCTTCTGTGTTTGTGACAAAGTTACAGCTTAGAGCTGCATTTCATGTACTGTTTAAGTAACTGTTAATATTCTATTTATAACATAGCAGCAAGTACATTTTTTTCAGATTTTAATATATATCTTTTGTTGTGGATTCATACAGTATGTACAGAGCAGTTTGGTCAAATGAAACATATGATGTTATGAATTTTTAAATGTTTCATAACTGCTGATATAGAATACAGCCTAATTGCATTTTATAAAAAAAACCACTAATCAGGCACACACTATGCTGTGAAGTTTGACTTTTATGTCTTTGCACTGATGTTATGTCAACAGTTAACAACATGAATTTCAGGTGATTTTTAAAATACCCTCAGAAGGTATAAAATGTGTGTTTAATTCATACTAGTAAAAGGCCAGATTACAAAATTACAGTTTTGAAAAACTTGTTATGTATGAATTAGCACTTTTTATTTATGCTCACCTGATTTTTCAAGCAAAAATGTCTAAAGATTAGATGCTAGGCTGACAGGGAGTGGAGATTGCAGCAAGACTGAGTTGCTGGAATCAGGTTGAATTCAGTAAAATTATTCCATTTTGGTTCACCTATCAATATAATGATCTCAAAGCTGGCTTGAATAAGCTTTGTGTTCAGTAAATTATTTTAAAAGTCAAATTTGCATAAACACTTGATTTACAATTTTATTTTTTTTTTTACTTTGGAAATTCAACCTTAAGAAAAATAGGATGTCAGAATTTAAGACCTACAGTTATGAATGCTCTTAAAAATGGTACATCTGAAATTTAGGTACTGTGAGTGATTTAGAATTTTAATATAACAGGTGTGCTTTTTACCTGTTCTGTGCTGCTGTTCCACAATTACAAAGACATATTTTATTCTTTGATATTTTGCATGTGTTCCTTTTTGGCTCAGGAATAATTGCTGTGATTTTAGGAAGTTGCCAAGCCTGTTACAGGAGCTTACAAGAAATAAAGTGAGATAAATTTATAAAAAGAAAAACCAGTTTGGTAACCCTAGCAGTTGGTTGCCTTTTGGTTTACAGGAAGACTTTCCATTTCTGTAACACTGTTTTGAAGTCAGGGTTTTCGATGCTTACATGTGTAGTGAAAGGGGCATCATACATGCTTGCCCTTTTTTTAGGTTTGGGATGTCAGTGAGACTCCACGTGTTACATCTGATCAACAAATACGGATGTCCCAAAGTGATATCTTTAGACTCTTCAGGAAAGCAATAATACTCTTAGACTGTGATGTGTTTTGGGATGGGATATTCTAGCAAAATTACCTGTGATTGTGAATTGCAGAGCAATAATTTTTACAAAGCCATATTTTGTGAGGTATCTTGGGAATTATATTGGAATGGTGAATGGAGGACTTTTTATATAACAGTGGCAGCCTATTTGTAGAATTATGGGACTGTGAGAGTATATTACGCTGTGATTGCATTTTAAGTATTTTGTAACTGGGTATGTGATTTTATGTGCTTCATGTTTACAAAAATATGCCAAGCTGAGCAAGGTCAAGTGGACTATTGAAAATATGTATATTTAATCCATTTTAATGTTTGGCTGCAATAAAACACAGAAGAATATCTTTGTCTTTCTAGTGTCATTATTTATTCCCAAATGTATTAAATATTAGCTATAGGGATAAATATTTGACTTAGCCACTGATTAATATTTTTAATTGTGAATTTGAATATTAAAAATATATTTGAAAGTATTGTTTGCAAGGGTCAAGTAGCAAGTAAAATGAATTAATTTTATTTCTGGCTGCTGTTATGTGAAGGAAATGGGCCCTATGCTGAGGTGTGTGTCTTCTGTAATTGTGTCGTGATCGTCCTCTCAGAGTATTGACATTCTGCAACCACCTAGGGTTGAATTTTTTCCATGAAACATCATTTCTGTTTATAACTTATAATGGATGAGATAGCGCTTCTTAACAAACACAAATGTCTGGAAAAAGTGTTATATCTATTTTGCTTACAGAATATTATGGTTATGGTCCATAGTTTAAATCAGAAATCTGATAAGGTCCATTCACTTCTGTGAAAGCAAAAATCTTCATTGGCCTATTCACTTTTCAGACACCTTCATAGCTTTAATAGTCTGGTATTGCTGACTAGTAGTTTAAGAAAAAGTCAGAAGATTACCTTTCCTTAATATTTTCACATTGCTACGTAGCCATTTGTTATATGTCAGTGAATCTATGAAATCTTGGATTCAGTTGCTTTTTTTTTGAATGCTTACAGGAATACCAGTAAGCAAACAGTAGAATACTGAAGTTGTATTTTAATACTACCAGTTTAAGTGACTTTTAAACATTTTCTGTAATTGAAAAAGTACCATATCATGGCATTTCTTTCAAGGAAGTAAAGAAAATGGCTAAGATTTCATATAGTAAAGATACTGAAAAATGTAATGATTTTACTGATAATTTGTAATTTTACATGTTTCAAAAATTACGTATCTGTCAATAATTTGTATTGTGCATTTTTAGTGTTGATTGAGATTCATGTAAAATCTACAAGGTCTGAAACACATTTTTAATTGTGACTTGGGTTGTTCTTATATGCCATCAAACAATTAGTTGTAATATGAAAAATAAATTTATTCTTCCTAGTAAAAACCTGCTTGGGAATCCCTGGTGCATTTGTTATAGTGATAGCACTCCTAGCCTATAGAGATTAGCTAAAGCTGTTTTGTCAGTGATTTTCATCTTGAATTACTTTGCTGGAAATGAGGACATTGAGTAAAGGATGAGAGTGGTTTGAAGACCTGACTTTTTATTTTGTTTGTTTGCTGGAGCTACAGTTGGTTTAAGTTGATGAAAAAATAGTGTCAAGATTTATTATCATATCCCTGTCTTTGAGAGAGCACATTTTTAAGCCTTTGTCAGAAATAGCATAATTAAAACCTTTTGCACCACTGAAATATGCTAGGGATCAGTGTGGAAGGAACAAAGCAATATGTGCTGAATATGATGCTGAAGTGAATTCTTAGTGAAGTGTGAATTCTTAGCTTCAGAGCTAACAAGATCAAGTTGTGATGAATTTCAAAAGCAGCTACATAGGAGGAAAAGTGGGAGTATTTAAAGATCATTGGAGAAGCTTTGGTGAAGTTGATTGCAATTAATTTAGCAGAATACAGGTTGAAAATAGTGTGAGAGTTTGGAGAACTGATTTTAGTGTATAAATAGGTATAGAGGGCTGTGGGTTATATGTTGCATGAATCTCAGCAATAAAGAAGTGTGAAGCCAGACAAGAAATGGGAGATGGGAGCAGGCTTTAGAGTGACGAGGTCATACACATTGTTCTTCCTGTAATGGCAGAGAAGTTGCAGAAGCAACCAAGATGTGTGGAAGCAGGTTATCCACTGACCTAGAATGAAGTAGAGAGAAGAGGCCAGGTGAGAATCTCAAGTGTTGCTTATAAAGGAGAGGATACATGGAAAATGGGTGCCTAACTAGCATGATGTGTCATGGTAATGGGAGGTGGTACAAATAGAAATATGAGTGTACCAACTGGTTTGTGTGAAAACTGTAAAACTAAACTATTATTTCATCTGGGGCTGCATTATTGCTCTTTTAGAAATATAGTGTTTTGTATGACATATGATCATTTTATTGATTGTGTCATATGTGCAAAAAATACAGAAGCCAGGGTTTTAGGAAGTACTGCACAATGCTTTCATTAAGATACTGCTACAGTAATAATTGTTCCTAGTATGTAACTGACTCTATAGGTCTTTTGTCATTTTTTAGTCTAATTGACAATCTAGATATCATGATGCAATTGAAGAGGTGAATGACTTTCAGCGTGATCATATTTATTTAATTTACCATATAATCAAGTTAATGCTCATTCTGCCTTGTACTGAATATAAATTAGAGTTATAGTGTCCATACATTCAGGAATAGCAGTTGTCAGCCTGTAGAAAAGGATGAAATTAGAGTGTTAAAAAATTTGATTTCATGTGTATGCATAATCCAGTTTCTTCATTAAAAAATGCAACGTTTTTCTACATTTTAAAATGTCATGTTCACACTATAATGCTTCTGAGCAGTCAGTTTAAAAAGCAGTAAAGACTGAGTATTCAGACAAGGTATCTCTAAATTGCTTGGAAATTAAAGAAAATATTTTTATATATGTAAAAATACCTCAAACAGTATATGTTGAAGAGGACAGTAGCTAAAAAGGCAACAGACCTCCCTGTTTAGTGTCCTCTTAAGTTTATTAGGAGGAAATATTGGAAGCTTATTGGGAAAAAAAAATGGAAATGAAAACAGAGTAACCGTGTTAGAATTGTGAGGCAAGATGCATTGTATGTTATAGAGTAGGGCAGGATCAAAAAGTGTTTAGGGGGAGGAAAGATCTTTCTGTATCTACCACCTTCTTGAAATACACATACGTGATTTTTGTCCAGGATTTAGTTTGCCTTTGCTGCAGACTGTCTTAATGCTTACTTAACATCTACCTCTGCAGTCAGATGTTTGCAAAACACCTGTACATTGTTTTAAAAGTTGAAAAAAGACAAAAGCTTCCAAGTGCCCAAGTCACTTCTAAAAATGAGACTTAAGTTGATTTTGTCTTAACATTTTAACCAAATGTATGTATTAAGCTAGTGTTTCCAATATCTTTTAATTAGTGAACAGATTTTCTTTTTTGCAAAATAACTTGCATTGTAAGTGTATATCAACAAAATATATTAAATATCTAGAGGAGAAATTCTATGAAATGTTTTGTGATAGAAGCAATATTGTAATATTTGAAGCATCTCCAGGGAAAGACCTTTTAGGTAACTATATAGTTCAGAAAAGAATCTTTAGTAATTTTAAAAAATAAAAATGGAATAAAAAAGGCCTGTTGACTCAATTATGTTTTGAGTATAAATTGTAATTTTCTTGTATCTCTTTCTTATCATAAAATGTTAACATAAATTATTTCAATGAAATTATATTTTTAATGTTCTAGGGAAAAGTGAAAAAGAAACTGAACAAGACAAAACAGAACAAGGTAAGTCTGAAAGTAACATTCTGTTCTGAAATTCAAAACCATGATTTTTGGGAGGATTGATTTAAATCAGGCTAAAGTCTAGTGAAGCTTTTCTCCAGTACATCTCATGTAGATAAACTGCGGTTGAATAAACATCCAGAGAGCATGTACTTTTATAGGTAAACTCTTGGTTGTTTCCAAGGCTGGCACCAACGTAGCCAATCAATCTTACCTGGTTGCAGAATGGAACGATAGAATTGTTTAGGCTGGAAAAGATCTTTAAGGTCATTGAGTCCAACTCATAACCTAACTGAACCATGTCCCTAAATAACACATCTTTTAAATGTCACCAGGACAGCCTGGCAACCTTTCCAGTGAAAAAAAGTTTTCCTAATGTCCCATCTAAACCTGTCCAGGAGCAACTTGAGGCTGTGGCTTCTTATTCTGTCCCTTGTTACCTGTGGAAAGAGACCAACCTCCCCCTCACTACAATCTCCTTTCAGGATGCTGTAGAGAACAATAAGGTCCTTCCTGAGCCTCCTTCTCTCCAGGTTAAACACCTGCAAAGACTCCCAGCTGCCTCATCAGATTTGTGCTCCAGACCCTTCCCCAGCTCCGTTGCCCTTCTCTGGACACACTCCAGCCCATCAATGTTTCTCTTGTAGTGAGGGGCCCAAAACTGACCCCAGGATGCAACCTCACCAGTGATGAGTACAGGGGGATACCACTGCCCTGCTCCTGCTGGCCATACTAATGCTGATGCAGGCCAGGATGCCACTGGCCTTGGCCACCAGGGAGCAGGCTGGCTCATCAGCTGCTCATCAGCACCCCTGGGTGCTTTTCTGAAGGGCAGCCTTCCAGCCACTCTGCCCTAAGCTTGTAGCATTGCACTGAGTCACGGGATGGTTGTGACAATTCCTGCTGTTTTAGGACTAAAATGTTCAGTGTCATACTCCTAGATTAGTATTCTGGAGGTCAGAGTTCTACCAAGCTCTTTTTCCATCTGAGGGCAAGAGGCAATGTGGGCTACCTGGCCCCTGGAGCTGGGTTCAGCACTGCTAGCTGTGCTAAGTGGGAAGAGACAAGTGACATGTAAATCTGTCCTTGTTGACACTATGATTGCCTAGTCTGTCTTATGTTAAGTAGGAAGGTGCAGAGACAAATTAGATGGAAAATAAGTGGGGTTTTGCTGAAGAGCACTGTGAATCTGCTCTCCCTGCCATGACATTTGTTCTGGCCTCATCTGTTCCCTGTCACTGCACAAATTTTGCAAAACCTCCTTCACTGGGATCATGGCTGGTTGCTGGCAGTGCCCAGAAACCTCAGGGCCTGTGCCAAGGGATTCAGTAGCTCTACTCTTTTTCATTCTGTTTCCATTTTCTGTGTGGCTGTTATTTTATATTTGAGTATTTAGAAATGCTGCTTTTCCAATATTTTGGTATGGTTTATTCGGTTTGGATTTCTATAGTGGTGGTTTAAACACAAGTTTCTAGGACTGGCAAACTTCAGACATTTTATTTAAGTATTAAACGCATCATATGTATGCATTACATATAAAAAGTAAAAAAACACAACCAAAACAACCTGGAAAGCTTGGCAATTATGCCTACATTTCTATTTATTGGCAGGGAATATCTTACTGCAATGAATTTATCTACTTGATAGTGTGAAAAAAAATCACCATTATGTGCTGCTTTTACAGACCTGTTAGAACAGTATAATAAAATGACATACAAGAGCCATCCAGTGTGGGTAGAAAGCAGTCATAGGTAAAAATGCCAGCTTGTGTAAAAAACTTGCTAGTATGCAACATTACTCATCAGAGCCTGTACAAGAACTTCAGGATATGAAAGTATGACAAAGTGGAGCTACATTCCTTTTCTACCCTAGGTGCTTTGTGGTTTTGTTTCTTTTTAAGCAGCAGCTAAATAAATGTCACTGCTGATTACAGAATTTCTATAGGGTGGAAAAAGGGATCATTTTGTTTTCTAGGTTAAATTGATAGATTTTTTCATTCTACCAGGAAAAACAACCCTGCATTTTTAATGAACTTTGTTTATGGATACACTGCTTGTGTGATTCTCATACAAGCTGAATTTTGTTGAACTTTTTTCATAGTTTGAACTGTTTCAAGTTTTCACTTTCAATAAAAGTGGTTAGCTGTAGATGTCCTAGTCAAAGGAAGTGGTATAAGGTGCTATTGAATTTGTTTATTTTAAATTAACCTAATAAGATGCAGCAATAAATTGATGAGAGATGGATTATAAAGTATACTGTCCTGTGATTGGTATATGTAGGAAACTTGGAAATCTAAGGAGTTGGGAATTTGAAATTTCATGTTTGGCTTGGGTTTAGGATTTGCTTCTGATTCTGAGAGTACATTCTGATGTGCAAGTCTGCATTTGTTTTGTGCTATTTGGACATACAAGCTCCAAAGAGCCTTCTGTGCAGAAAGTATTTATACCTTTGAGTAGCTCTTGCAACATAATGACTTTTTCCTGCTGCAGCCTTCATACTACTTGGTTAGCAAAGTGTCCTCCTAGTAATTATGTAAATTTTAGTATTCAACAGTAATTCATCAAGTTTATTGAAAGTCTTACTGAAAATTCATTGATATTAACAAACTCCCCCTCTGGAAAGTTCTCTAAAGAAATCAAAATGAAAATAAACTTGTTTCTAACATACAGTTGCTTCAAGGTTTCTCTGTTATATTTAATTGAAGTGGAGTCTTCATCTTATCTATAAGAATGTAATCAGACGTTATATTTAAACAAGTAATTGAAATAGGATGGGTATTCCAGGTGCATATGAGAACTAATTCTTTAAAAGGTTTCACAGGTAGTACAGTGCAGGACATACATGCCGAATCCATAAGTTTTGTTTCCTCTGAGGTGGTTTTAGTTGTTTTTGATCACATAGACTAAAAAAAAAAATTAACTAAGAAGCCTGATTTTTCAAATTTGATTTCTATTGGATATATATTAAATATTTATTTATAATGGTGAACATATATAAAAAAATAATTTTCAGCTATGGACATGTTTGTTTCATATAGTGAACTTCAGCGTAGGTGCTATTATAAATAGTAACTTTCCCTTTTCAAAATTGATCAAGCATGACAGTAAAAATTAATGCTGTTAGCTGGAACATTCAGTTGCATTGCCTTAGGAACAGAAGTACATGTAAGCCAGGCTTAGGACAATGTCATTCCAATGGCCCTGTAACTTGGTGTCATTTTGATAACGGGTCAGCATTCACCATTGTTTACTCTGGGCATTTAACTTTTAAGATATGTAGGATTTCACTGTGATACCAGTAGAGACCTAATCTGAGGAGATTAAAGTTCTGTTCTTCTAACTAAATGTTGGAGTTTGCTGCAGGGGTTTGCCCTAAATTCCGTTGGGAACAGAGCTCTGTTGTCTGGAGAAAGAGCTTGCACAGTTAGCTCACCTCCAGCATTGCCTCCTTGAGTTAGGTGGGCTGAGTTCCACCCTTGCAAGCTCTGTTTATAACAATATACATAGTACCCATTGATTTGCAAATTTGGTACAGGTTACAATTAGATATCTGTGTTCAGAATGATCAACACAAAAGTATAGTTGTCAAAGTCCAAAACTGCTGCATAATGCTATTCTGAACTAGATATATAGGACATTAGAATAGTACAATGTATTTTTCAATGTAAAGTCAATGCAGAAATTTCTTTCTGGTTTTGTCAGAGGATTCCTCAAGTCCAGCCTTTGAGTGAATCCAAAAGTCTTAATGGTGAAAGTGAGGTGAATGATGGAAATACATGCCAAACCAAAATTATCTTTCTGCTGTTGTTTCTTATGATCAACATCTAACTAACATCTAACATCTAGCCAACCAACCAACAATAATTTCATACAGAAAGCCCTGTAGAATACTTTTTACTGCAAGGGAAATTGTTCTGGAATAACTGCAGTTAAAGATTTATTATAGTAATTAGATTCCAGCTTTATTAGTCTCTAAAATGCCTCAGTTTTTATTGTCTGATTACTTCCCCAGATAAGTTGATTATAGTGGTTTTGCCTGCTCTACCAATAGAGTTTAGAAAGATCTTTTAATTATTCTAGTGCTCCTGGCTTTAAATTGTGTATATGCAGTTTACTCGGTTTTATACCTTCTAAGTTATCATTTATAGAAGCCCATAAAGCAAGTAGATAACTTACACTCTCTGTATCTCACCTAATGAGCTTCCCAAACAACAGGACAATGACAGGATTTTTCATCATCATCAAATTCTCATTCAAGTGTCCAGTGAGATGCAGCACAATTTCCAAAACTAATTCGGGTAATGATATGGGGCTAGTATCAGGAGGGAGGACAATTACTTGAGCAAATTTTGAATTCCAAGTAAAAGTCTACTAATGTGTGTATGTTCTTCAGAACATAATTGAAACTTTGACCTGGGAAGGTGTAGTATTGTTAGTGGGCGGCAAAGGGAATTAGTAAAACAGAAGGTCACGAAATTAGTTGGAAAACAACTACAGACCATCATCATCAGTATCTACTTTGTCATTGACCCACACTCAGAAGTTGCCATTCACAAGTTGCCAAGTCCATTATTATTGAATTTGTATTGCAGCAGGGATGAGAGGATGTTTAGAAAACAAAGCCTATGACCCCCTCTGGAAATTGCTTCCTTAGTTTTTCAAAGTTTAAGACAGAGAACTGACAGGAGGAGCTTTTGCTGCAAGTGACTTAAGAGACTGCATCACAAGAAGGGGTTTTTATTTCAGATTAGCTTTAGAGACAGCATGACATAAGGAGACATAACTATATTGTTATAGCCTCTACAATTAAACAATTATAACTTCTATTAAAACTTCATTTAGGACAAATCATTTATCAAATCATAAAATTATAGAACAGTTTGGGTTGGAAAGGATCTTGAAAGCCAATTTTGTCCAACCCCTGCATTGAGGTAATTCAATTTTCTGGCTAGCGGTAAGAACAACATACAGTCAGTGGAGTAGGATTGTTCCAGTGTACTTTTC